ACCACTTGAACGACCCCTGTAGACGTCATAGATACTACTTCAAACTTACAGGAGAGTTGTACACCAAAGCGGATGTTTATCCACACCGAAGTGGATTCATTGGGGATGATCTAGTCATATCTAGTATTCAGTATTCAGTATTCAGCTTTGCCACACCAGACCTGCCATGGCCTTCGCCTCTGCCGCCGAAATCATTCGTTCTTCACCCCCCGCGGGTCCGGCCTCCAAGCGGCTCTGCATATCCCAGCGAGCCAGGAAGGGCGCTTGCCACCAGGGCCTTGGGCGGGCGAAATAGTTCTGCGGCCGGGGGTGGTACCAGAGGGTACAAAGGACCTTAGGACCTTTCGATCTATCCAAAAGCACCGGAAAACCATGGAAAAGCATGGAAAGTAGTTGTCACAGAGGAGTGGTTTTGGGCTCGGATGTGACAGGGATGATGCAAACATGTGCTGTGAAGGTCAACAGGGTCCTTGGGTTCGGTTTTCTTTGAGTCACATCTAAGAGGATGATCCACAAAGATGGGATGGAACAAGATGGGATGGCGTGCCCAACGAAGTTCAGTTTCCTTATAAGAGGACTGTTGTTTTTTTTCTCGGTGCGAGTGGGAGTGTAGCTCCAATTCCTGGATGGTCAACCTTCATCACTAAAGTGTCAAATCAGAAGATGAAAAGCCAGTCATGTCCGGCGAATCTCTTGAGTCTGCAGTTCACAAGATCTGACACTTGGTCATGCTATGACCACGAGCTTGCGTGAGTTCTGACAAAGACAGATTCGTTTCATCTCGGTCAGGGTGTATCATGCAGCAAGCACTAAGCGCGGGTTGTATGTACGAGTAGTATGATTCTTCTGGATCGTTGGGTTAGCGATGAGTCGCTTCACGATGGTAGTTGGATCAAAAAAGGTCAGAAGAATAAACACAACCATGATGGCGTCATGAGCCCAACCCGGCCCAACCCCCAAGAAACATATGCAACAAACATGAACAGACATGAACAGGAGATTCCTGTGGTTTATGTCCAAACACGGGATGTCTTGTTTCGATCGTCCAGTGCATTGAACCAAGGACGATCGATCCCCCACACATCGGTATAGCGTCCCGTGGTGCTTTTGGGTGCGTTTTGAGTCTCTCCAGGACGCGCGTTTGGAGTCACAACTCAGTTGCCACCTGGTTTTCTTCGCGCCAACACGGTCGTGATCTTCCACCCGAAACAATGGAAGTTGTCCTTGAGGAAGGACTCGACCCTAATTAAAGACCAATCCACTCGTGGTTCTCGTGAACGGCTTAGATGTACTCGCACTTTCTGCATCCGTCCACAGCATTCTCATATGGGTGTGTATTAAAATGGGGAGACCTCCCCAAGACCCCCTGGAAGAATGGAAATAGACCACATCACTGGTTGGGCGGTCTCCCTAATAAGATACCCACTGGGCCCATATATATGTCCCTCATGTATGTACCCCACATGACGTGCTCCGGTCCCACCCCCCCGTTCCGCAGGCGTTCGGAGGACCGGGCGGATGCACCCCGACGGCCACCCCGACGTCCTCCGGTTTGGCAAGGAACCTGCTTGGTCCAAAGTCGAGCGTCGAAAAAAAAGAGGAAAAAAAACATCAAGTTGGTATAACCTCCATGAATGCGAAGTGACCTAGAATGAGTCAGGGTTTGTAATTATTGGGTTGGTGAACTATTCAGGTGTTTTCTACCAGCACCACTTGGTATGTGCTTCATCCAAACTTCCGAATCTGTTTCGGATGAAGGGCGCGTCGAAACGCTGTCATGACTCGCGGCTGGTTTCAGACCGGATGCGAAAAACTGGCCAAGGGACGCCTTGTGTATACTGTGAATGCGGGCGAGCTCCACCTCCGCACGATGGGCTGTTTCTATGGGGGAACAGGGCTTGGCGGTTCTAACGCCACATTCATTGTGTTTGACCCTTCACCTTGGAATCCTCAGCAGGGACCATCGGGTCATCTTGCTTGGTCCATGTCCAGTCCGTCTTCCTTGTTCGGAGAGGCTTTCACAGCTGGCAGATAAAACGGTGGGAAAAAAAATTAAGATCAATCCCACCACGACCCTCCAAGGGGTGCCTATAGGTAGAAGCCTATAGGTAGTGCGGGGTAGTCCAGCCAGGACACCCCGACAGGGGGGTCCAGGCAGACACTCTGGAATATATGCCATTGCCAATGCCTACAGTGACACCTTTTCAACCAATGTAAATATCGGAGCGCCTGGGAGTTTGTTTCTCCTCAAATAAAGGCGGGCCGATCCAAAAAGCCTCTGATTCTGACCCCTGAGCCACCGGAAAAGAGGTACAAACCGAACTTGAGGGGCCTGCCATTTGAGTGGGTTTTGCAGGTGAGGAAGACGTACTTCACTGGGGTGGGAAGACGGGAATAGACCAACAAGAGTTCCTCCCGACCCCCGAGCAACTTCCAGGCACAAATCATCCTGCTTTCAGTGCGCGTCGAACTGCCATGGACTCAGAAATGGATTTGGCTTAGCCTTGATCTAACTGAGTGGCCTTCGTCCGTTCCGGTCTACCTGTCAGACATGGCACGACAGCTGCGCTTGCGCAGCCATGACCCTGCCAAGAGGCTGTACACGAGCCCTCTCCATTCCCATTCACAAATACCTCAGCCGAGAAAATAAACAGTTGACCAGTGAGATTGCAGAGGTGGTGGAAGGATATTCCAACCTGATGGCTTTCTTGGGTTCTTACGCAAAGGCAGCGAGCGCAGCACGCAGTCTGACCCTGCTGAGTGCAGCCCAAGCAGTTAGACATCAAACCCTTTCAGAACGAAACTTCGAATGTTGGCACTATCTAACCATGGAATAGGTTGGTTGGCAAAGTTGAGCACCAAGGTTTTTTGGTTTGATATAAAAGCATAACGTATCAATTTAGTATGAATATCTTAAAGCATTTTGTCTTGTTCAGGCCAGGAGTTAAGAAGCTGCAAAATAAAAAGAGAAATGCTTGGTGCCGTCGGCATGCCAAACCGCTTGCATGTAGCCTAAACCAAGGACTGAGTTTGGGAGCAGAATCATCTCACTTTCACTGAACTGAGTGTGTCACTCTCCCCTCCATGGGATTTGGCTCATGTTCCCCAACAAAAACAGGTGTTCAGGGCTCCTAATTAGAACATTCAACCAGCTCTTGACTCCAGACAGCATGGGCTGGCTGCCAGGATCTAGTTCTCAACAGAACAGCTTGCAAAAACGGTTCAATCCGCATCGGAGTCCGAGTAGGTTTGTGCATCAGCCCTGCTACGCCCACTTTTTAGCCTTTGAGGTGCCCAATCCGGTTCTTTGGTCTGGGCCAACAATGGTCAACGACTATTTCTATGCATGGTCAATCTCTCTCCTGATCCTCCAACACTCGGCCGCACATTTATATGTCACCGCATTGGATTGGTTTAAAGGAACATCTAGAAAGAAACCATGAATGTTCCATGTTCACCCCCAAAACTTCTGTCTTCCTGTAGGTCCTGTAGGGGGACCTCCCTTAAACCTCACTGCCAGGCGGCCAACGCATCAAAACTGTCCGTGGTCGAGGCTGGGAGGGAGTTCGTGAACTCCGGCACCTGGGGAACCAGCCCGCCAGGGCTCCACGACCACCTTGACCATCTTGACCCTACCGGCCACACCATGTTGCGGAAAGTGTGTTGAACAGGAGGGTTCAAGGGAAAACGGGGTAAAATTCTGGATTGAGGTCCAAAACCTGTATGGAACATCGGACGAAATGGAATGACTCCCAAACACGATCTGTTTGGGATTGGAAGATTTACTGACATTCTCCATCATTGACTCCTGAAATCAACCACTCCGATGTAGGTACACATGTCATACTATACATGGCAGTGTCTGGTACTTTGTGTTCTTTTCCGCACGGGATCGGAAATGGTTGATTGACAAGGTTCAAGGAGAAGGCGGCGTGTTGAACATGTTCATGGGATTTTGAGGAGCTGGGTGTGGCTCAAAAACGCCAACTGGTGCAATAGCGAAAGCTGTAGATGTTCGCTGTTCGCCATGTTGGCAGTTCACAGTGTTCACTGTTGGAAAGCGCCAAGTGGTGTGAAAACAGAAAATAGCCATCCCACCGAGTCCCAAATCACAGTCCACCGTCCGTCCAAAAATCAGCCTCACCAAGCTGTGGGACGCCCTTGCAGAGTTTCTGGGTGGAACACCGTCCAGAGAACCGGACAGTAGGGGAGTCCAGCCCTTGCTACGTTCGTAGCTTCTTGCTACTAGTAGTGATGGCCTCCACCCTAGTAGCGATGGCCTCCAACCTACTAGCTTCTTGTTACTAGTCGCCTGTGGCTGGACTACCCTACACAACTTCAATTGGATGCTCCAATCTCTGGGCTTTCTGGGTTCTCCATCTGGTTTTCAAACACCAGGGATGCACAGCACCTCGCCGATGTGGTACACGAAAATGAAACCTCTTGGGACCGTCCTTCTCTGAGCGGTGGACCCACCCATCACGGATGGATCGTTTCTTCCTTCAGTTCCCACCATCGAAGCTGCGGCACTGGCTGGAACGCCGCATGTAAGTGCTGCTGTTGCCCTGTGCAAGTGGCATCCTTCAAGAGCGACCTGAGCGTGGCTCCGCGGATTGAAGAATCGTCACGGACTAGAAGCATGATTTCATAGGACACACTCTGCGGCAATGCCCGACTTGGAGGTGCCGTAAGTGTGTATATACCCTAGAAGTCCAAAGACTGTATTTTGACCGACTGAAGTAAAGGAAATTCCTTTTCACCTAAAGACCATTCTTTTTATAGTCTTTGACTCTCAGGGTATATATATAATATACTATATTGGCCAATATATTTCACCTGTTTATAATGAGATTCAGGTACTAGAACACACCTATAGTACGCACCTAGAACCTGAGTGACCTGTGCTTTCTTCTGGACCACCAACCACCCAGAAAATTGGTCCGTTCCTATCCAAACAGGGGACATGTCTGGATTCTGTAGGCGTGCTTTCATCAGGTGTATCAGGTCCTGCACACCCTATTGATGATCATCTGCCACTCTGTCCCGCGCCTGGCCCGTAGCATTTCGTGCACCAGCAGGATATGAGTGGCCGGCGACATGGGAGGCGCCAAATTCACGCCTGCCGATGGGTGCAGCACAGCATCTTTTGAAGGAAGAGTCGGTGTTTGGGGCCCAAGGGGTAGGATTCCCCTTACCAATTGGCACTCCAAACAGGGTGTACATCACCTGCCGTCAGCTCTTCTTTTCGGATTTCGTGTAATCAATGACATGACATGACATATCGGACTTTCCACGGAGCCGAGAGATCCTCGATTTGGCTCAGTGTATCACTCCGCTCCATCGAAATTGATTACAGTGGTTTCAGAGGTGAGAAATGACACAGACCTCAAGATGTCCCTTACATGGGGCTTCATATAAACCACCGACATTGGGGTCTGTGCCATCTACTCTGAAACCACTATAATTGGTTGGATGGATGTATTGCTTCCAACTTCTGGAACAACCAAGAAATGGTTGACCAGAACCGAGCACTTCGGACGTTTCTTGTACGTACTACTCTACAACGTATGATTTATAGTGAAGTCCGAGTAGCTTCATGTCGCTTGATGTTTTGTGGAATGTGCTGGGTTCACTGACATTGTCATTGTTGATGGAAGAAATCCTGCTGAGATTATATACTAAAAACACAGTAAATTGAGCGAGAGGGATGTTATTGCTCGCGGAAAGATCTTTCGATTTGTTTCTTGCTAGCAGGGACAAAGAAGAACCAGAAGAGCATCCAAAACCATAAATTATTAAGTCTGTTCAACGCAAAAGCAATACAAAAACAAAAAACCGTCTGAACTCCATCAATCAAGAGAAGTTCCAAAACCAAAAGCTGACTGCCATCCTCCACCCGGACCCTCTGACTGGTGAGAAAAACCAAGTGACCCTCTGACTGGAGTGAATTAATAAAAGAAACTCTCCGACCCCCGACCCCACACCTGATTCGGGATCCAAAATGATGAGATCTGCATGGCAGGGCCGTTTGGGCCGCGGATGCTGGTGGAACTCCGACACGGCAGTCCCCTTCCTCCGCGGCCAGGGGGGGCGGACTTGGAGGTGGGTCCTGATGAGCGCTGGTGTGACCCCTGGGAATCCCACACATAGGCTGTGGTGTCACAAAACGCTGCAAACTGGAGGCTTCAAAGGAAGACAAAGAAAAAATTCAGGAAGACAAAGGTGCAAAAACCTGCGAGCGGAACATCGGACGATTTGTGGAATGAGACAATCAAACACGACCTGTTTGGGATTGGAAGATTTACCGACATGAACCTCTGAAATCAACCACCCCCAATTTACATGGCAGTGCTTGGAGATGTTAGTTACAGAAGTGCGGATGTTGTTCAATGACCTGGGGCGGGTGAACCTGTGAGTCAGGCACACAATTCAACACAAAACCTTGCCAAATATGCCCGGGGCAAGATATACCTCAGGTGGCACGTTGAGTATGAAACTCAAACCGCCCTGTAAGGTCCGAGGTGGGTGATCCTACCGCTGTGTTTTTTGACAAAAACATCCAGCGTGCCACCTTGAAAGAACGTAAAGTGAGATCCATCAGCGAAGAAAAGCTCTGGGTGAGAGCCCTCTGCCATGATCAACGTGCATAAGTAAATCATCAAGATGCCATGATCAGCAAGGTGGCGGACCGCTGGACTACTTGGATTTGCACAACATATGTTCAGATATGTTCAGATCATCCCCATGCAGCGAAAATCCAATTCGGAACCAACCTGGAAAAAGAACGAGACCCATCACCCCGAACAGCTCTGGAAACGGTGCCCACGGACGCCTTTCGGACGGAGGGACCAGTCGAGGATGGGCTGACGGCTGACGGTGACAGCCTGCCCTTGTTAGCAAGATGGCCTCCACCCTAGCGATGGCCTACTAGCAATGGGCTCCAACCTAGTAGCGGACTCGGAAGTTGTGGAATTCGTGTCTTTCCGGTTGAAAAAAACCCAGCTATCGCGCGGATCATTGATCATGCCAGTTAGACGCCTTTAGGGCTTTCCAAGCTTCGCAAATTTCAGCTTTCCGTCCAGCCCGCTGACAGTGGTGTATCTTTGGAAGAAGGCACCTTGCAGACGTCTGCACGTGCAAACGGAATTCGGCGACGTCCGACGTCCACCAAGGGTCACTGGGCACCCAAGGGTGGTGCTCTGCGCGAACCGAAGATAAGCTGACGTAGATCCGAAGATCATGAATCGATGATAATTAAACATAAAAACAATAATAAGTAGCAATAATGTTTCCTGCCCCCCTCTGGCCGCTAGCCGCTAGCCACTGGTTGCGGGGCCTGGAAGAGAAATCGAATTAGACCTTGAATGACCTGCCCCACTGAGCCACGTCAATATCGAGGGCGTCAATATCAGATCCGAAAACTCTACGGCTTCATCCCAAGACTCCGTGAGCGAGCAACAGTTTCCACGTGAAAAAACAAGATTTGAGGTTGTGTGAAGAAACCACTCTACCTTTCCCTATACCACTTTTGACGTTATCGTTGTTTTGTGGTCCTTATCGTTTTACAGCACTTTGACTAACTGCAACAAATGTAGTATGATTTAGTGTGTGTGCACTACATGCATGTCGTGTGTGGAACCCTGCAGGCATGAAAACATTAGGCACACTTCATTCCAACTACACCGAAGTGGTGGCCTGCCTACGGAAACAACAAGGGTGTAGCACAAGGCTACAGCGGTCCAAGCCCTCCCACCTCTGCAAAAAGCACATACCCACCAGGAGCAGTCATGCATTGACCTGACAATTTGGAACAGTAGTACAAGTAGGTTTTCTGTTTGTGTGTGCACGCGTTTTCTTCACACCACTTCTCGCATGTCAAGGGTTTTCCACAAGAGTCATCGGGGGTTATCGTGTTTTTTCTTCCTTATCGTTTTACAGGGGATTGAGCATGCTTCCAGAAAAACGGACCTGCGAATACTCATTTCTTCCAAAAGGGGGGGGTTTATACTCTCTCATTTGGAGCCCCGCCCAGCCAAGCGGTGGCCCCTCATTGGAGACCCCCGACCCGGTCCCATCTGGGAGTACCCAGGCACTCCATGTATCCCAGACACGACTAATGGGACTGCCATATATATGCCGCCCCATTGGGTGGTGTTCGGGGTCAATGTATAGGTATATATGGCATACATGAAGTGTCTGGGTATGGTATCTATCTATAAATGCCAAGATTCACCCCTTTTCAACCAACCGGATGTATGTATATAACTGTCTCATGGAGTGTCTGGGATAGTATACATATACCAGGACCTTCAAAGTGACCTCTTTGGAGTCTCTAAGTGACCTTGTACAGACCTAAGTGACCTCATCCTGGGATATCAAAGGGTCACTTTGAAGGGCCTGGTACAGTGTTTTCTCTCAAAAAACCTCAACTTTCAAGCTGGCTTTGTGCGTGAAACCCGGTCGTTTCTCGGCCGCGGCACTCATGAGCGACAGCACCGCCGACAAGGGATTCTCTGCCAGGAGCTCGGGCGAGAAACTGCCTCGGGAGAAGATGGTCCATCTGCAAGCAGAACCTTCAGTTTCTACATGTTATACGTCTGAACTGAGTCTGAACCATCGTCTTACCCTAAGCATCATAACTGTCCAGGACCTCGAGACCAAAAACCAGCTGACAGCCATGGACCTTCAGTACGTGACCGATATCTCCAATTGGAGGTCACGAATGTCACGGCTCAGGTCGAGGAATCCGAACGGGTCCGAACTCGTACGTGCCTTCACTCGGTGGGACCCCCCCACCACTGAAGTGGAGGGCTTGGACACGCAGATGTTTTTGGACACGCACCTCCAACACCCGGACATGAAAACCTGAACACACTTCGGTCCATGATTCTTGGGGTATAAAAGTAATCTAAGAACACCAAAGAACACCAGCTTCTTACTTGGTAATCATACTGATATCACCAAGTTCTCAAATGAAGAGAATATGTGACACAGTACATGACATGTCTTTTGGCCGTCTATGACAATGGCATCGCTCAGTGTCCTTTCACTCACTGCGGGGCATATTGGTCAACCTGAAGAACTGAACGACTTCTGTTAGCAACTTCGAGGGCCCAAACCTGCTCAAAGGTGCCTTATACTTCGGCGGGTGCGATTCGTCCCTGTGGGCGTGCTCATGTCGTCGTCTCGTCGCTCTCTCGTTGCACCTGGCTAGTTGAAGCAACGCCGCCTTCTCACATGAACTCCGCAACGCCTCACCTCCGGGTCTCAACCCTTCTCCGAGAGGCAACTCTGTTCAGCACACGAGTGCATCGCCAGCAGCATCCAGGCCACCGTGGGCAAAGCACCATCCTTCATCCGAGGGATCCGTCTCATCCTGCGGCGACACGACGAATTCCGAAAACCACCGAACGCCTCCGTTTTCGGACCACCGGAAGGACAGCAGGTGGGGCAGGTGACAGGTGCTACCGACCCAATGGTTCAACCTTAATTTTGTTTGCAGACCTGGTGATGCTTGGATGATTTGAGGATTTTTCCATGAACACTGACGACGAGAGACAAATCCAAAATCTTGGAGCAAACCCTGGAGGTTCGAACGGAAGAATCATGGTGAATCGAGGTCCAAACCCTTAAGAATCAGGCGGACCGAAGGTCAGGGTCACCATCTCTCGGAGGTCCAAACTGCTTTTTTCTTGTTGGAACCTCTCTCCAAGGATTTGATTTAATAGCCTTTACTGCCCACAAAGGGTTTTACCAAGGATTATTCTTAACTTTACACTAAACCAGGTCAACCATGGTTAAACATGGTCTTGCAAGGCCAGGGAACTCTGACCGACTCTGACCTGTCAGTGGTGCCATGCTTCCATTTGCTGTAGTGTATAGCATTGTATAGTATTAGCACCGATCTTAAAAGGAAACGATTTCAGAAAGGAGAAAGAAAGTCGAAAGGTACCAAGGCGTGGTTAATAGACACCCGTTAATCTTTAAGGAGCCATTATTGGAGACCCCTTAGGGGAGTATCAACCGGAAGATGGCAGTGGTTGATCTGCCTTCAGAGATTCAGATCTCAAACAGAATCGATGGTGACAGAAACAAAAAACGCATGTCAGTGAACAACAGCCTAAGGTCGATAGTTGAGTGGTCACAGGGATCCAGTGGCGAAAAGATTCTGACCCCAACACTCAACCTCTTAAAGACCTCAAAACAAACCATTCTAATGTAGGCAGGCAAATCTACCATGTATTGTCTGGGTTAACCATAGGGGAGAGATGGGGAGAGTATGTTCCCAGCTGCCCAGCTGCCGAGAAACCCAGCCCAGCTGCCGGTTCACGTCCTGAGCCACCACTTGAGGCACCGCAAGGTGACGGTCAAGACAGGAACCTGGCTCACCTCAATTGGCGCCAATTGGCGCACCAATCCAAGTGCCGGAGCTACGCTCCGACGTGCAGAACTGGTGGGAAAAAGAGCAGAGGAGGGCTCAAAAAATCACGTCGAAAAACACAAAAGATAAAGACAGAAAAAAAGAACCTTCTATAGGGAAAAAAGAGAGCCACCGGGGAAAGAAACACCAGAATCGAACTCCAAAGATCCAAGTCCAGTTTGCACCTGTCGACACCTGAACCTGTCCTGAACCTGTCGACCCTTTCTTCGCAGCGTACGGATGCGTGAGCGGGTCGTGCGTAGGTCTGCGCGCACACGTGCGCCCGCGGGGTCGATGGGGTCGATGGCCCCTGGGTCGATGGCCGCGGGTCGATGCCTCTCTTGTGTTGTTCTTCAAACAGTTTAGACTTAGTGTTACTATAGGTCCTGAAATCCTCTCAATGCACCTGGCACTTCGTATCTGCTCATGACCATTTGGCCCTCCAAGTGCTTTTGTCCGCCCTTGGGGACCTCGGCCAGGGTCGTGGTTTCCATTCGCTGCGGTGGTTTTGAGAGGTTGGGTCGGATCCACCACTGGGGAGCTTGGGATCTCGCGGGGTATCTGACTTCAAGATCCTCAAGCCTGAACATTGGCATGGTTCTTTTGGCCAGTGCGGCCAGAACCCTCTTCCTCGGAACCGATCCAACATGGTCCAGCAACAAACAAAGCACTCTCGCGATGGTCATCTTCACATCTCAATCGTGCGCACGGATTGGGAGGGCTTGGCCCAGGGCGAGCGAGGGCAAGAGCCTGACGTTCATCGCTGCATATACTTATGGGACCCCTCTGAGTGGAGGTCGATGTCTATCCGGAGCCGAGCCAACTAGTAAGCTACTAGCTTGGAGGCCATCGCTAGTAGGTTGGAGGCCATTCCTATAACAGTATTACATAGTATTACTACCAAGAAGCGTCCTAGCTTGGAGGCCATCGCTGGAAGGCCCCCCCCCTTCCACCGCGAGGGTCGGGTCCGTCGTGAGGGTCGCAGCGAGGACTGCTGGCTACGAGGACGGTCTCAAAGACCCGAAAGGAGATGCGTCTCCCGAAAAATCCCCACGCCTTCGGTCTGTATAAACCCGTCTGTACCCGTCTCTTGGCTAGCTCGAGATGTTGGGACATGCAGCATGCACATGCAAAGCCGGCTGTTTTCAAACAGGAACCAAAGACCGAAAACACTTCAAACAAGTGAAAGAACCACGTGGTTCGGTCTCCAAGCGCCAGAGGGTGCCAGTTGGGTGACGAAGGCAGCTGCCGAGCCACCGTGGGGGGGTTTGGCGGCACGGCGCCGATCTTGTTGAACCATCTGACCTGGGCGGATGGGGCAGACTTCGAAGCTGTGAAAAAACCCTCGACCATCCCGTGAGACATCTCGGACATCTCTAAGGTGACCCAAACAGGATGGTCCTGGCCTCGACGGACCCGCCTCGACGGAACGGTTTGGCGAGGACGCGTCGGAAGCAAGCGGACCGGCGGGGTGTTGCGGTGGAAGCAGCCGAGCGTCGTGGAAGCAGCCGTGGCTGCAGAAAGGAAAACGTTCGACCATTCACTAGACCAGCACATGGACTCTATGGGTATAAAGGGTTTTCAGCGGATGATTTCTTCATCTCTTTTCGTGAAGCCTTCCAAGTGTGTTGCCCACTTTTCGTGAGCCTTCTGTGTGTTAGCCTACGTAGCTTCTGAAGGGATTGACTACTGACCACATCCCAACCAGTCCAGCCGACCTGGTTTCCTTTTTGGGGGCAGAGACCGTCTGCCCCAAACGGAAAAGGGCACCAAAAACTAAGTGATTGTGCTGTGCAGCCACTGGTTTGATCAGAGAATTTCATGAACTAAGACAACAGGTCCTGCTGCTTGACAGGTCCACGCCCAATGTGGGCATCAGACCTCGAAAAGGGAGAAATTGAAAAGGGATGTCACTGACAATCAAGTCCTGATTTGTTGTCATACTCTGAATCGGATCTCAGTCATCCAGTACTCTTTCCACAAGACCATGTTCGTTGGAGGGGAAGTATAACGGGACTGGGATATTTACCGATCAGTTGGGGTGGTTTGAGGGGTTTGTCTGGGGCGGCAGTCCTATGACAGTCCCATGGAGTGTCTGGGTATAGTCCAATACGTACATTGTGGAAAGCCACCCAATGGTTGGCTTCCGTGAGAAGGCCGACTGTGATGACACAACTCTTTCATCTCATGACTACGAGGTTTGACCCTTGCTCATATGTGGTTAGTTACAGAGAGTTATACTTCCCCTCCAACCAACATGGTCTTGTGGAAAGAGTACTGGATGACTGAGATCCGATTCAGAGTATGACAACAAATCAGGACTTGATTGTCAGTGACATCCCTTTTCAATTTCTCCCTTTTCGAGGTCTGATGCCCACATTGGACACCCTCCACAGCTGGGCGCCCGACCCGAATCGGCTCGATGCGACGAAGACGAGATTTGCCGGCGACACATGGAAGCGTAGCTCTCTCGTCCAGGCCGATTTTCTGGAACAGGCGGACATGTTTGGCCAAACAATGAGGGTCCAGCTATGGAAGTATGGAACCTGCTTCCTCTCACATCCGTTGCGCATACACCACACGCCAGTTGAACATCGAGCCGAATTTCGGTGCGAACAAGTCCTACAGGTCCAAGCGAAGGTCTGAGCACCACAATGTGAGTACAGGTGCCATAACTATCATAACTCTTGAAAAAACAGTTGTGCTTGACCCATGTTCAGAGGTTCTTCGAGGGACAGCAAGCGGCCCTCAGCCCTTGAAGCCCGTCTTCCCTGATGTCCAGTCTTACCAAGATGCGTGTTCAATGGAATGGTGAGAATTGATGGCCAAATCTACCTGGGCAGTGCAAGCATTCTCGCAGCCTAAAGCGTACCATTTGAAAGAGGAAAAGAATCTTCAAGATCCTCTTGCACGCTGTGATGTTGGTGGGAGGGTACCGCAGGTCAGCACAGGTAGTCAGGCAGCGATATGTCACAGCAGCTTGAATTCGCCCCCCCGTAAAACAATAGCCACAAGATTAAACACCTAACCCGATTCTATCAAATTTCCAAGAAGATGGTCAGCTGATGTCAGCTGCTGAAAGTGTCATCTTGTGGATCATCGAGGGATGGGGTTTGTCTGATATCGATGGCATGAACACTTCGGAAGACTGTCGTCCAAAGACCAAAAAGGGGCAACTACCCTTGAGCAGGCGTGTGTTATAACTTCTTCAATGACTGCATACGCATATAGTATCGGTGTCCATTTCATGGTTGGCTTTGAGGCGATGGAACATATGAAACCTATGTGCTATATATATATATATCAATTATATATAATTATATAGCTATCTATCCATCTATCTGTCTGTCTATCTATCTATTTTGGGTGCTGCATATATGTGTCTACATATCATCCAATATAACTACAAATATATACATGCCTTGGATGCCATGGAAACCGCATATAGGTCTGTCCACCTCTCTATCTACATACTTCCATGCGTCTGTCAAAAAAATGACTTATCACAGTCTGGAATCCTTGACTCCGCCTGTTCCGATAAAAAATGGGGATTGCCCTCGCAAAGTCATTTGCTCCGCAAAAAGAATAGTGTCGGCAGTTGGAGCCTTCCCTTCGATCCTCCCTTTTGAGTTGGAGCTCATCCTGACCCAACTTCTTCTTCTCTGTTTAGGCCGCAAAAAGCCTTTCCCTTCTCAGATCGACGACGATGCATTTTTAGTAGTCCCGCGTCCGTTCTTCAGGATGAAGTAGATTTGATCTACAATTCCGTTGCTAACGATGCTAATTTGTTTAAGAATCCTCAGCTTCTTTTGGTGCCATCTGCCACATTCACACACCAACCAGCTGAGAAATCATAGGTCATTTGGTCCTTCCAACTCGGATTCTGATTTGGTCGTCGGCTTCAGGTCGGCTTCGGTCACTTCAGCCCTCTTGGGTCGCTGGATGGGTCTGTGAT